TATGTTTTTGTACGTTTTGTTTGCTTCATTTGATATGATTATGTGTGATAGCTTAGCTTGCTTTGGGGTATTACTGGTGTGTATTGTTTACTTACATAGTGAAAAATGTTTCAAAACCATAGCTATTACATTGGAAAAATTGAAGATTTAGTCATGTAAATGACACCTGAATGAGAAATGGTTTGGTGATCGTCTTGACTTTACAAAACACCTTGTAACTGCAAAATACTCTGATTTTTTGTCCTTCCACCAACAAAAGTCGGTCCGTGTGACCTGTGACCGGTTGCTGGCATGGATATTATTTTTTATTTTTTTCGTACACGTGACAGCCGACTAACATATGTAACTCAGTTGCCATGTGTACGAACAACAAGAAGTATAATATCCACGTTAGCAACCAGTCACATGGACCAAGTTTTGTCAGTGGAAGGACCAAATGTCAAGTTCTTTTGCAGTTACAGAGAGTTTTGTGAAATCAACGCTACCACCGTACTATTTCTCAATTTGGTGTCCGTTACAGACTAAAACTCTAATATTTCCACATTGCCAATCCAGCTTTTGCTACAATCCACAATTTGTTATGTTGATTGACATGAATTACATATCCTGTAATCAAAACAAGCGAAATGGCACCTATAAATAGCCCGACTCACCTTCCAAACCGACGTCTCAACAGATCATTCACGGGAGGTGGGCCATGCTCGGGGCCCTCGGATGCATAACCCCGGAAGTCCTTGAGAAATGGGTCAATGTTGACTTCAAGGAGCCCGTTTGGTTCAAGGCCGGGGCCCAAATCTTCTCGGAAGGTGGGCTCGACTATTTGGGCAACCCGAACCTAGTCCATGCACAGAGCATACTCGCGGTCCTCGGTTTTCAAGTCGTGCTCATGGGGCTTGTTGAAGGGTTCAGAATCAACGGGCTTGATGGAGTTGGGGAGGGCAATGATCTGTACCCGGGCGGGCAGTATTTCGACCCGTTGGGCCTGGCGGACGACCCGGTTACTTTTGCCGAGCTCAAGGTGAAGGAGATCAAGAACGGGCGGCTGGCCATGTTCTCAATGTTCGGGTTTTTCGTGCAGGCTATTGTTACAGGGAAAGGGCCCTTGGAGAATTTGTTGGATCACCTTGATAATCCAGTTGCTAACAATGCTTGGGTTTATGCCACTAAGTTTGTTCCTGGGTCATAAATGTGTTTCATTAGTGTAGAGATTGTTATTTTTGTGTATTGATTTTCGTGGTTAATTGGTTCTTGACTGTGTATATTGTTTGTTATATTCTTTTGGATAGTCTTTGATCAACACCCACAAAGTTGATAAAAATAAGAAAGGATAACACAAATTACCTGGGATTCATGCAAACTGTTCTAAAACTGTTCTAAAAAATTAGCCTAGGCACTGCTCGGGCGCCTCCAATTTACACAAATTGGCAAAAAAAATTAGTTAGGCGCCTAGGCGGGCTCGGTGGCCAGGCGATTAGGCGGGCATAGGCGGATCTAGACGCTCCTAAGCAGGCTCGGCTATAATTTTTCAGTTTATTTTTTTAATTTTTCTAAATACTAACTACATTATTTTGTTTTCATTTTTTCTTTAAAATATATTAATTTTATTATTTGGACTTAGGTGGGTTGATTTATTATAAATTGAAATAATTTTATTTTATAGGTAGTTAAAATAAACAAAAAATGAGGTATTTAATATTGATTTCTAGGCGCCGCCTAGGCCCCGCCTAAGCGCTCTAGGCGCTGGTCGAACGTCAAACGGGCGTCTAGCGACTTTTAGAACACTACAAATTAAAGAAATGAAATATCCAAAGATCGGACTTCAGTTTCACTAACTCCAATTTTGCTCGGAGTTCAACTCAAATTTATATAGATTTTTGTTATTCAAATAAGAAATATTTTGTTCTTCGTCGAGTTCGAGATGCTAAAGCTCAACTCATAATCAGACAAATAGTTTGCAGCTCAAGTTCAACTCAACTACAAAATCGAGATTCTAAAGTTCAATTCATGATTGGTCAAACTCGAGCTCGAGCAGAGCTTACTCAAGCTTCGTTTGCAGCCATACTCTAAAAGATAAAAAGCTTCTATATCTTTTAACCATTTATCAAAAGCTCATCACCCTATGACATAAATAAAAACCAAATCCATTTACCTCAAAACTTTTGGTACATTTTTT